AGTAATTAAAGAATAATCCAGAAAATCTTAGTTATTTTATATTCGATACGAAAAGATTCAAATAACGAAAGCAGCAATTCTTGTCGATTTTCCAGAAGAAAAGAAATTTAATCTTTATTTAATGATTTTTCTCTAATCTGCAATTACCTGTACCCAATAAAATCACGAAGTTGCGTAGATCTCACGATTGAAACTGAAGGGTGGCGTTTTCTTTACGAGCCCCCGAACCTTCCCCACCCCCCCTCACCAATTTTCAGAAAAAACGATCATTCGAGAAAGCGATCCAATTAAACGTTTCACCTGGTTTCCTTCAGTTCCAAATCGCTCGCGTATACTTCTTTACATGTAATGTAACAAAACCTAACGTACCTAGTTCGTGGGATTGGCGAGGCCGGAATCAAGGAAATATCAAATTCGTCCGTGCGCATACATACACTCATTCCCTTTTTTTCTTTTCTTCCCATCAAAGATCCTTATCGAGGAGTGGCGTTCAATTTTTTTAAAATACTCATGTCGTTCAGGTCGAGGCGTTTCGCCTTTTCCTGGTGAACGAAAAAGAAAACAATAAATAAAAAAGAAAAAAAAAAAAAAAGAAAGGCCAACGAAGAAACGCGAGAAATCGTAGTACGTGGGTGCGAGTCCGAGCCAGTAGACCCGGCGGTGCACGCTTGGCATTATTGCGCATTGAATATACATATATATATATATATATATGTATATATATATATATATACATCGTATATATACGTGTATATATATACATACTATTGTGTGCATCGTACATTGTTCCGTAATGTGTTTGTACTGAAAGTGGCATGTGTAGTATTTGTTTGTTTGTTTGTTTTTTTTTTTTTCCTCTCTTTCGTAGATTAAGTAGCTAGTATTTAAAATATCTTTTTAAATTCCCAGGCGAATCCCTCCCCCGTCCCCTTTCTCGTTTCTTCATCAAGTAGAGAAAAAAACCTCGATTCTCGTCCATTTTCACACATTATGCATGCTTACGTGTGTATGTGTTGTGTGTTGTTTTCTCTTCTTTTTTTT